GTGATTTGTTCCATTTCCCGTCATTTAGCTGTTGTTTCTTGTTGGATCAAGGCGAGATGGCTATTGGAATGGTTATTTTTCCATCGGTTTGCGTGATACTCCTGAGCTTTTGGATCAGGCGTTCTTACTTGAATTTTTTGCGATCTACTCTTGGTTCTATTGAAGGGTTACCTCCTCCAGTTCAAGAAGGCGAGCGGGAAGGATGGGAAATATGTTACGGTAAGGATCCGTATTACTGTTGTGAGTGGAGAGAAAACGGCCATCCTTGCTATGACGGTGATTAAAGATGTCAAGTTAAACAGGTCACTTTTTATAAATGTTGAAGTGCGGATTAGGCCTTACGTTTACGCTGCTGTGAGAAAAATTGTAGATTTGATTCATTCCACCACAGACCACCGCTGTTAAGAAGCCGGAAAACTACAAAATTTCTTCATTAATTTTGGACAATCGAGATAACTATAGAGTTTTACTTTCGCTATCTGTTCGATTTATTATCTGCCTCAAAAATTGGCAGATTGATTGGCAATCATACGGCCATACCTTTAGTCACCAGTTTTCTCCTGTAACCAACGACAGAACAACTGCAGGCTGCCGTTACAAAGTTCAGCTCTGTCAATATATTTAATGCTGCGTGTCTCATGTATTATTCAGTTCAAAGCGTCAAATGATAAACAAATTTTCGTCAGTAATGCAAATAGATCAAAACAAAGTTTCTTGGTTCGCTTGTTTCATCCTGAATTTTAATGAATAAATTAAAATCGCACTTCGGTGACTATGCGAGGAAACTTGTCTTTGTGCGAGAACAAAACCAGCTACATAGATACGTCAGGCGTTGTCGAGGCCCACAACAGCACTGCTGAATGATTTTAAATTTTCAAATCTCAGTTGGTCACTTTATGGCAATCAAATTGCTTTGAGGTGACCTGCCTAGGCTCGCAAAAGATTATTGACTGTTTATTCTGATCATGCGTAGAAGTAAGCATAACTTTCAAAAATTAATCTTTTTGGAAACAAAAAATTCAACGAGGTAGACATTTCAGTGCGAAGTGAACCTGTTGCAATAAGTTACCACGCCACACCGTTAATTAATGAGATCTTTAAACCTAACTTACTCTCTATGAGAGAAAGGTAAGTTTAAATTAAAAAAAAAGGAGGTTCTTCATTCAATTAAAAGAAGAAGAAAAAGTTTGATCAAATCGTGAGCATGGTTTATTTCTTTAAGAAATATCGAATAGCTCGATGGTTCACCGCTTCCATTTGCGTCAAATTCCTTCTTCACACGATGGGAGGTGTAGTGCTGCGTGTGAAAAACTCGCCCTTTTGGCTTCCCGCTCTAAAAAATTGCCCAGAAGACATAGATCTCATGTTGTTTTTCAGAAGGATTCAACTGAGAAATTTGCAAACCCACGCATAAGGTCAACAGCCGTCATGGATCGAGTCCTTGATCCCTTTGTTCTTGAACACGTTACCAATTTTGTTGATGTCGCTTTTGCTGAACGGTCCACAGAAAAAATAGATTCAGAACAATGACAAGACTGAAAATGATCGCGAAAAATTCTTTTTTTTTGCACCATGTATAAGATGCGGATTATATTGCCATAGCAAATTTTTTCCACTCTGTAAGTATGATGATGGTGCTAAATCAAGTTACGTGGATACTGACTCAAGTTCTTCGTTCGCAATTGATTTTAGACCTTTGTTATCCTTTATTAGTCATCCCTAATTGTTGCATTTTCATAATGTATTTTCATCTTTCTAGGCTTAAAGTCCGCATTGGTTTTCTTCACTTTGTAGTTTCTTCAGTATGTCGCAGGAAATAGGCCGAAATATCCTGAGCCTCAGCATGTTCTCAAAGAAGCTGCTTAACTAGACTAGTGATGTGGAACATGTTGGGGCTCAGTTCCTTGACTTAGAATTCAAACACTCTGAGTGTAACCACAAAACTAGAGCATGTTCAAATCTAAACAGACATGATTAGGATATCCATTTTCACCTGATAAAAATGTTGGATGGGTCAGCCATTATCGAAAATCTAAACTGTTTCGAAGAGTTAAGCGGTACTGGCTCTATGCCCATTAATTGTGAGGCATAGTGAGCACAGAAAATTTCTTCAGAGGTGGGAGGGACTTGTACACTTATACCCACCCACCAACTCCATCTCTCCTGTTTCTAAACGGCAATTAGAATTATTAGAAACTTTGAGATACCATTGTACCGGCAACGTACTACAAGTGCTTCCAAGGAATTATACGGATCGGATATTAGTATGAAGAACATCATGAACACTGTATAATTTTGCGCTACATCAGCTCTGTTACAGTTCCTTGTCATTGGGTAAGAAATTATGTTTGAGCTAAACATACGTAGGATACGAGCCGATAGATACGAGCCGATAGACCTTAAAGAATTACACTTCTTGACTGAGACATTGACCCAAAAACTAAAATAACTTCATTCTCCCCGATCAAAAGCCTAATGTTCAAGTACTTTGGCGTAGATACAAAGCCAGGTCAGAAGACAAACCCAAACATGACCGCCGATGAACGTTTTTATTGTTTTAGAACAAGGGAGAAATATTTGCTCTTGTTGAGAATCAAGACTTATTAAAGTCAAGGACAAACTACTTAGTAGTACAAACTCAGGGTCGCGCTCCTTTCTGGCTTTAGAATCGTAACAAAGTACCTAACACGGCCACTTCAGATAGAACATTCAAGTTCCAAAAATCGGACAACCAGAACATACAGAGCAAGCAAGACGGTAATCAGGAAACCCAACTTGACCCTTGACTAAAATCACAATGGTAACCTTAACATGAAAAACTTCTAACCATGATTAAAAAAAGAGACATTTCAAAACAGTTTCGACTACTCAGGAAGGTTAATTCAAATTCAAATCCGTAGTACTCTCCAGCAGGCGTTGTTTGGTCTCTGACGAAAGGCTAACGCTAGAACACGAACGCATATAACCCCCCTATTTGCTATATCTCCACAGCGCGCGTTTCCTTTGCGGTTAGTAGTGTTTCGACTTTTTGTTATACAAATTTTGTTATCTACTTCACGATGAATGATTTTGTTTAGCAAAACAGCGAGCTGAAGGTTACTGCCGCCGCTTGAAATAGAGAAAAGTAGTTATTTAAGAAGTTTCTTTATTTCGACTTAAGCTAGGGGAACGTTTAATTTGATGTTCGAAGCGCCCAGATTTTTGACGCACCTCCTATAAATTTTTTTCTCTAATTAAATATCCAATATATGTGTCTGAAGAGACGTAGGATATTTCGATAGTTCTGGTACAGACATTTATTGTTATTGAGAAGCGAATTTCGGCATTGAACATACTTTACATATATTTCACACTTCAGAGGAGCACAGTAACGAGGGACAATACATTTGCTTCTGTCAGGGATGCCACATGAAAGACAGCGTATTTCATAAAATACTCAGACTTCGGCAACAGGAAAAAACTGTCCTATAGATTTTTAGAATACGGAGGTCATCTGAAACTTTGTGCATCGCAACTTCAGAAGCTTCGTTTCACTTTGCAACACGTTATTCAAATAAGCTGTTATGTGTCGATCTGTTCCTCCGAGTTGCATTATAAAACTTGTCTTTTGATTTAAACGTTTATATGCATTAAGACTTGCCTGGTCGTTCCTCCGGTGAGGAAATGCAACACTGTAACTGGCGGTACATCTCTTTGTACACGCATTTTGAAATTTCGTAAGAAAACTTTTCAAACGGCGCATGAGGGGCGAAAAAAACACAAATGCGTCGATTAAAATTTCACTTAACTTTACAATTGTATTCAGATATTCAGACCGAGATGTAATGTAGATGTGCAATTTTCTGAGCTTTATTCACAACCCTCATAGATTTTGTTCGTCTTATGTCAACAATTATTATCTACGATCACATGGTGTGGTCTGCCTGTGGGTTCATACTGTTCGTTGCTGTCAAAATGGTATGGAAATTCCAAAAAGCAAATTTTAAATCATAATGGAACTTATACACATTCAAGGGCAGTTCATGCATGACTACTAGTACATTTAATGCTGTTTTATATAGACAAGACTGATGAACAAAATGTTTAAGCCTTTATCGCTTCTTCCTTATGGCACTTTTACTTTGCCTTAAGGTTCATCACTTTCTTCAATGATATATCTTACAAAACATTTTTCAAGCAACCTCCAAATCTAAGTAAAGGTCTATTGACGGAGAAACAGCTGTTAAAAAAGCTGCCGATGAGACAGACAAAATTGTTTTCTTTTCTAAATCTAGCAACCCACTCCTATTTACAGCATTGAAATACTTGCCTTGTTGTTGTCGCTCCTTAAGCTGACGACAAATATTCCTTACTTTGTTCCAAGCGTTATTGCACCAGCGAGACAGACACGAAGCCATTTTAGATGCGTACAACCTCTGAGTCGCCGGATTTGTTTACAAATGAAGTTCCTTCTTAGGTACTTGATAGATATATCAAAAACACGATTAGGTCCACGAAGCTCGACGTACTCGACCAAAGATAAATTATGCGAGCGGACCAAAAATATCTGAGCACCCATCCTTGAC